GAGACAATGATATTGTACCAGGTAATCTAGAGCAGTTGTTTATATTTTTCTATTCGGTCGAACACGCTGTATTTGTCTCTATACGTTGCCTATAAAGGATATGAACGCACGAGAACTGCTCCAGCGACGTCGTATGCTGGATAATGGGGACACATTGTGGGAAGATAGCCAGTTGGTTGCAGCAGCTAAGCGCGGAGATGTTTGCATTCTTGATGGAGCAGAAAGAGTACGTTTTAGCAACTTCATTGAATATTTTGCCCTTCATGCCACTCATTTTGTTTTGAATGTCTGACTAAATGCGGAGTAATTCATAACATCCGCGACGCGGCATTGCGCGCGAATCCTTGCTAGCTGACTCAACTTGCAAGATATAATGGTTTATGACAGCTTGTATTCCAAGGCGTCCCTGTTTTCCGCAATAGTGACTGTGTACGCCGAGAGGGCTAATGCATTTGGACGCGCTGACTTTTGAGTGCGAACTCATTTGAAGATAACCAAATCCGCTGAAAACTTGTATGTAGGGGTAATCTAACACTTTTTCACAACTATGACATTCATTCTTGGCGCTGGCGCTAATGGAGAACACTACGATTATCTGCCCTCTGCTAAAGCTGAACCCAGAAGATAATCGTAGTGTCCTCCATTAGCGCCAGCGCCAAGAATGAATGTCATAGTTGTGAACAGGAACAGGATGTTATATGACCCCTACAAGCTTTCAGCGGAATTTAGTGATTTAGACACTTTAAAAATGAGTTCGCAGCCAAAAGTCAGCGTGTCCAAACGACATTAGCCCGCCGAGAGGTTACTGTAATCTTACGCCTAGTTTCATTGGAGCACGGCTTGTGGTTAGTCTTCGGAAGTGCTGCCTGCCCGTATTTTAGGTTACGTTCCAGCTTGTAACAAAACTAGGGTGAAGGTCAGGTAGCTCCTTGGTGCAGCCGCATGCAGCCGTAGCTGTTGAAAACAATAGCGTAGTCGCGCGCGACTATGCGCGGCAAATCTCGATGTGCATCAGTTTATCGAAGATTGTCTTGTCATATACCTCCATCTCACGAGTAGAGTCAACCAGGTAGGAGGATAGACTGGTTTGCGCGATGCCGCACTTCGGATGCGATAAACTACAGCTGATTGATACTGCACTTCCTATCTCCCGGAGAACTATGAATGTCAGGTTCACTGGAGCGCTTTGGAGTCATTGGCGAGTCTTTGTTACCATCGTACGCTGTTTCTTCCGGACGGTAGTCGTCTAGTTGGTTCTGATGAGTTTGACAACATCCAGAAAAAGACAGGAAATGACGAGGCGCATTTGAACACACGGTAAAGGCGACTTTTGATTACAAGGACCTTTGTAGCGCTTACAGATATATTTCAGTGGAGTATTTCGAATTCCCAAATCGTTCGCGCTTGTTCTGATCGGCAGCTCCTCGGTGTCTGAGACCAGATGGTTGAATGAAACGGTCATTAGTCTCATGCCTTTCCTCATCATGCAGAAGCTAAGCATTGACGACCAGTGTACAATACTTCAAGGGTACGTTATGTTTACTACGTTGCAAAAGGTAAATGCAAAAAGAAGCATCACTCAAACAACCAACGTTATGTTTACTACGTTGCAAAAGGTAAATGCAAAAAGAAGCATCAATCAAACAACCAAACTTATAGGAGAAGAAAACCCATAGACTCTAGCTGAAGGTACCAGACTTTCCTGGGAGGACAAAAACAGTGACTTGTACGTCTGCTGGCCCCCGCAAGGTCATTTTATAGGCCATATCGCACCCAATAAGCCTTCAAGCTTCCTGATGCAGTGGGGTTTGATTAAAGGCAAAAAGTTGATCCTTATCTTAGATACTTCTACTGCCTTAATTTTAGTTTGGTTCCTGCCGAAGCAAGCGAAACAACTCGAAAGTTGGTAGAGTTTGTGGACAGTCTGCAATCCTCCGGAGATGCGGCCGTGAGTTGTTTCTAGTACTCACTAGGCTGAAGCATTACGTTGGACTCTTTGTTCCAGTTGCGTGGAGTTGCTGAATCATTGTCTATTCGCAAACTGATTCATATCGCTAAACGAGATTGCCTGCATTCAGGAGAGCTCCGAGATCTAATCGAAAAAGCTGCACTAGCAAGGTATCCGCTTTTGTTGTGTTATTGAACCTTCAACTCCTCAAACGTGAACTGTTTACTCAAAGAGACATTGTATGATCACTTGCGAAGTGCACGGGTCCATATCTATAGAAGTATGGCAATTTCGCCACTCTTATGTGCACAGAAGTAAAGTTGGAGGATTGCAATAGCTGGTTTTCCTTATGTCCTACGCCACACATTGCGGGCATATTGGCAATGCGTTTTCTGCGGGGCCTGATCAACGAAGGTTTTCCGTGACCATGGTTAGAATTAAACTTAGTCATGCGGTGTGTTGCGTGTCCATGGGTTGGCCTGTGGCGTGTTGCATGACGGGGAGATATAAAGAGCATTGACCTGTGACAAACTTCCACCTTCCATTTCCACTCATTTTCGTGGCCAAAGTGAAATCTTTCCACAGATACGGACCTGCCTACCTCACAAGTGGTCGTGCTAGTCGTCTACAACTCAAACGAAATGATTGGTGACATGAGTTTCCTTTTTGCGGCAATGGTTTGCTTCTTACATCAGGTTTCTTCCTTCTGTTACACGGTTAGCTTTTCACACTGAACTCGATAAAGCGGGATTTTTAAGGAGTTCGCCCTCTGCTGGTGAGTCACTGTTTCTCACTCTGTTGATTGAAAGCTTCTAAAATTTCCTTCTTTTCCTAGTTTCGTAAGAAACGTGTTTGTTTTAGAACTTGTCGACGATATAAAATATCTTTTGGAGCAAAATGTGGGAGAAAAGAAGGAAACCATGATACCAGATGTATTGTTTTACGAGAATGATCAGGTGAATAGTTCAAATGATAGAAACAATAGTCTATCTTGTCTTAGGCTCGTTCATAGTAGACATCGAAGATGGAAATTCCAAGAGAGGATTAGATACTTATCGATTGGCCCTGCCCGAATCTCTGAGAAGGGGTGCGAATCGATGAGTATCTAATCTTTTACTGCTCCTTCGATTCCTCTGTATTGCAAAGTATGTGCGCGGCCATATTTCACACAAAACGCACGTGGTCGTGGCATGTTTCGGCCAGTTTGTTCGTAATGTATGTATCGATAACGTGCCGTCACCATCTAAACACCTATAAGTTCTCATTCTGCTCAAATGTAACCCAATTACAGCATATGAGTGTGATTCGCGATATGGCACGTGATATGCGGTTAGGAGCACATCTTTTGTTAATCGGAAATCAAGGTGTTGGAAAGAACAAAATCACCGATCGCTTTCTTCATCTCATTCAACGACCTCGACAATACATGCAGTTGCACAGGTTCGAGATTTTTTTGGGAGATTCACCCTTTTATGGGCGCCTGACACCTATGGAGTGTCATGATTCGTCATAAGACCTGGAATTTTGATTCTTGATGCCGCGAAAAAGCTCCGTATCGATATTAAATGCTGTCTAATAAGTGGAGGAGGGGATATAACCAAGCGGCTCTGAATATTATGCCCTCCATCCGTCTCATCCTCCACTTTAACATCGAAATCCTCCCTTTTTCTAGAGTGTGTTCATACTTTGCGTCAATGTCTCGAGCGTATGTCAGCGTTTTGAGCGATGGCGAAATGTAGTTATCGTACGGCATCTCGTTGAGTGGCTAGGAAATTATAGGTATCGATTTAATTCTGAGGGTGCGCCGGCCCACACCAGCGTCCGGCAGCGTTCTGAGCCACCAGGAAAGTTCAGGTAGTTCAGGTCGACCTAACGCTCTAAGTATTCTGCAAGATAGTTGCTGAAGACGCATGCGTCCGCTCAAGGTGCTAGGTCGATACCTATGCTTTCCTAATCGCTCAGAGGCTGCCGTGCGTTGGTGCTAGGTCAACACCTGTACTTTCCCGTTCTCTCAAAACACTTATGAACTCCCTACATACATTTGGCAGTGGGAGCGTCAGTTCCACCTCCGTCGTCTACATCTTTACAGGTGTCCAGAACATTCCATCGAAGGGTGTAGCCAAGGTCGCTCATGGCCGTTAAAATTATTAGGTTGTCCGGAAAGTTCTCAGCGTTTTGAGTGTTTCACTTTAAACGATCATAACTTTCTTAATACTCATCGGATTCAATCGAAATAAGCACCGTTCGAATCAGCACACTTTTGCCAATGTGACACCAGTCGAGAAATCCCATCAAAGAAAAAAACTGGGTGGTCGAGAATCTACGAAATCCACGAAGGCTTTTTTGCCTGGTCCTAATTGATGAAGTATTTTCCAGCAAGGAAGGCGGGTGAGGTAGAACTTCAACCCCCAATTCGTTCAATTTATGGATAGTGATTTGTGAAACGTGTGGGCGGGCGTTGTAAAAGAATCGGACCCTTTCTGTTGACAAGTGCTGGCTGCAGCTGACGCAATTTTCGGTACATTTCGTCGATTTCTTCACAGTAGGACTCTGCTGTGATGGTTTGGCCTGGTGACAAAAAGTTAGTGGATCACACCAGCCGATGACAATTTCTGCCCGTCACTCAAATTGTGGGGCACCCACTTGTCGAGTTTTTTCACCTTCCCAATGCTTTTCAGACCATCCGCAACAGTGGATTTGCCAACGCCTAGCTTTTCTGCAATCTCTCGAACTGTTTGGGATGGGTCACCCTCCACAAATGCCTTCAAATCTCGTCAGGTATTGCTTTAGGTCGACCGCTACGAGGTTCATCTTCAAGGCTGAAATCTCCAGAACGAAATTTGTCGAACCATTGTCGCACGGTGCTTTCTCCAACACTATTGGGCCCCCACACCTGGTTAATTTTTCGAGCTGTCTCGACTGCGGATTGACCCAATTTGTAGTTGAAGAAAAATATCGTCCGAAGTTGCTCTTTTGACATGCTTGAAAAAAGGGGGTTCATCAAGCAATGGTGAAACGGCAATTATACCATCAGATAGCGCAAAGAATTCTCTTCAGGATGTACTACTGAGACGCAAGGGAGAATGAGTTTTTAATCAGCAATGAATGTACAAAAAATAGTAACACAAAACGCTGAGAACTTTCCGGACAACCTAATAATTTATCAGTCACTAAAGAATGAAAGAGGTACACCAGATACTGACAATCACCAAACATTCTGAAAACCAACCTGGACCACTATAAGTGCCAAATCAGCAAAACATAGCGAAAGGCTCCTGCCATTCGTGGGAACCAAGTGTATCTAAAAAATGTGTCCAGCATCTTTAGTGTCGTGCTACTTGCTCTTCACTTTTAGAGATACGACAGTGGAATCGCTAACCCTGCAAACTACTGTAGAAAGTGGTATTTTGCGTTACGAAGACTCTGCCCTAGTACGAGCTGCTCGAGCAGGGCATGTGCTTGTTATCGACGAAGCAGATAAGGCACCTCTTCCATGTTATTGCCATCGTGAAGAGTCTTCTAGATTCCGGTTAGTATAATGTTTTCTATTGATCATACGGGGAGGAAAGGACAAGTATTGAAGAAGTTTGCAGTTTGACGGTATGATCCTTAGGGTAAATGAGCTTGTGCGTAACTAGCACTCATTAGTAGTGCCAAGGCTAAAGGCATTGAGTTCGGTCTACCACGAAACTTGGCATTGTGTGATACGTCCTCGTTTTATAGCTATAACCACAACCATGACATTACGGAGAATTCACTTGACTTACGCTCCAGCTTTGTCACGTTTTTGCGAGCTTTTGTTTGTCCTTCGACTTTCAGGGCCTAAAGGCCAAGGCATCAAAAAAGTCGTTTCATTCCGAACTAGGTTTCTGTATCCTACAGAATGAACCTCACTTGTTTACCTCTACCATGATATCAATGTTGTTTACCTTTTGTACCTTCCTCCCAGCTAGGAGTATGGTTCAGTTGTTGTGACGCGGTTCGATGAGTAAACATCCCACGAAACCCTCGACCGGCAGAAGCAAGATGGAAGGAGTAGGAACAAGTGGCGACCACGGCAGGACTTATTCCTACTCCTTCCATCCTGCTTCTGCCGGTCGAGGGTTTCGTGGGATGTTTACTCATCGAACCGCGTCACAACAACTGAACCATACTCCTAGCTGGGAGGAAGTGAATGTACAAAAGGTAAACAACATTGATATCATGGTAGAGGTAAATAAGTGAGGTTCATTTTATAGGATACAGAAACTAGGCTCAGCATACAAGCTTGGCCAGCTATTCCAATACGACATTATTGACTAATATTCTCCTAATTCTTCGTTCTTTTCCTCGCTTTTCTATTTTACAAGCACTCGGACTTTGAGCCATTCAAGGCAGCATTAAGTTTCGCGATGACGCGCTCCACGCGCTACCACTTTAATGGTGCTCCAAGGCGATAGACGAAACGCAGCCGCGGACTGATAACGATCAACACTGCCCGCTTTTGTTCTGGGAGAGAATGGGATATTAAGAAGGTGGGGTTTGCCTTTAACACAGTCTGGTACTTGGTACTCTTGTGCTATACTCTCTTAGGACACTAGGTGGCGTCTATTGATACTTGTGTGTTTCCGTCTAAAGAACAGGAGCACCGCTGCAATTGCAGCGCATCGAAGCGCGTAATCGCAAAGCCTGAACGCTGCTTAAGTTAACATTTTGTTACTCTTTTGATTTACGATACAATTCAGGAACACTTTTGTTGGGCGATGGCAGAAGAATACAGCCTGCTTCAGCTCCACCATGTGAACGCAGCATTCCACTTCATCCTGACTTCAGAATAATCATGTTGGCTAATAGGCCTGGATTCCCTTTCCTCGGTATTTTTAATTCAACCCATTTCAAAAGTTTTGATCACATTAATATTTTCTCAGGCAACGATTTATTTGGCTTGCTCGGTGATCTCTTCTCTGTACACACTGTGGATAACCCAAGTCGTGACAGTGAATTGGAAATGCTCAAAAAATACGCTCCTAGTATGTCTTTTCTGCATGTTTTTGTTATTTTTTGAATTTTTTTATCTCTTTTTATTGAAAGGGTAGAGTGAGGATACATACAGGGGGGCCAAAAAAAAGTCATTTTGCCTCCATGACTTTCAAGGCGCTATAAGTTACACTTTATTAAATTTTTATCGGACATTTTACTACCATATTAAAGAGCACATTAAATACTATAATGATACTCCGCCACAGCCTTCTGGAGGAGCGCCATCGAGAGATTCGGCCGCGAAAGTGAGTGGGTACCGGAGTTGAGCGAGATCGTTGATTTCTCCGCCACTGTAGACCACCCTGTTGAGCTCCGCCCGAACTAGGTAATTGAGTGGGTTCAGGTCAGGGGACATATTTCAATATTACATCTTCATCAGGTACGAAACGCCCTTCCATTCGAAGTAGGCGGGAGTTTTTCCAAAACCCTTCGATTCCATGTGGTGGCACCCAAACCTGTAGCAGCACAAGGTCTCCAAGAAGGTACGGGCGACCACATGTAGGGAGGATATTCTTCTCGAGTTACTTGATGTAACCGCCAGCGCTCACCTTCAGTCGGGGTCTACAAAGAAAATATCGGTCTTCCCATTCCAGGTACGGCCGGTCCACACCATCAACCCGCGCCTTGGTGAATGGGGTGAAGATGATGTCCTGGACCGTAGCGACGTTGCCGGAGCTGCTCGATGTTTGAGGTCTTGCAGATCAAGAGTACTGGTCTCCAGGTAGCTATCCATGGGTGATTCCATTCAAGAAGTTCCGCAGCTGTTTGGAGGCCACGTGAATTCCAAAGGCGTTCTCCACTCAGGCCGCGACTGGAGATGACTTCATATTTTGGTGTACATGAAGGTGAATGGCGGCAGCCGGCTCCTGCTTATAGAGGAAGATCTTGGGTATCTTCCGCCCTGGTACTCATATCCACTTCCTCTGTCTGGGCTGCGAAAACTTCGCTCATATGTGACTCGGCCGGAATGACTTTTTTTTGGCCCCCCCTGTATACTTTTCATGCTGAGTTTCTCCTTCTAATTTATACCTGAAGCGATACCTTGTCTTTGGATGGGCGAAAGTCGCTGTACAAAGACTGGTGTCTAGGCGAAGCTGTTCTGCCCTCCACAAATCCTGCACGCAGTCCTTTTATTTCTTTGCTCGAATATTTCGCATCGTTGCAAGTGATTCAGGCGCTGCCGTAGTTGAAAGGCGCGCGCCGAGGCTGTTGAGCATGCTTGTCTGCACCCTCTGATTAAATCACTCGCTTCCCCTATTAATAGCAATCTTGGCAAGCGCCAGATGACCTGCTAGTTTGGCCGTTTGCCTCCCCCCACCCCTTCCATGTCTGTTAATACCCGGAATCGCACCTTCCTGGTAGAATGCGTTCGAGAGGTCAATTTTTGTGGGTTCGCGGCAGCTTTTGCTACGCAGCGGCAAAAAGCAAGCGCAAATCCTTGTCTCGGAACGTTCATTGAACCGGGCAGATTCGTGCTCGCAACCGCGTTCATACTTTGCTGCTGAGGAGATTAGGCGATTTGGGAGACTCGGCGATCTGAGAGATTGTGCGATTAGAAGAGCATAGAAGTCGATTCGACGATTTGGAAGAGTTGCCGCTTTTGACAGTTCCGCGCTAAAGGAGTGAGTGAGTACCGGTCCGCTCGCTGGCGATTGCAACAGCGGGCAGTCACTACGACTGGCCTCAGTCGATACTCATCCCTACTTCGGCGCGAGATCGCCGAAAACACCGAGTCTCCGAAATCGCCAATTCGCTTATTCTCCCTAGCTGCCAGATCGATACTTATACTGTCCTCGTCTTCAGTCTCCAAATCGCCAAGCCTTCCAAACACCGTATCTGCTCAGTCGCAAAGTATAAACGCGTCTTTGTTTGACTCCTGACAACCTGGAACTTTTTTAATGGTTCTTGATTGTTGCGATTCGTATTTCTTATCTATTATTTTTTTTTTCTTTGCTCTTATATAGCACGCCTGGAAGGCTATGTGATATGAGCCACATCCGTTTATGATGGTGTTTCAGATGTCGGAGATGGTATACTTTTGAAATTAATGGCTGCATTCACTGAACTACGCGAAATGGCAGATGAAGGCCTATTACAGTATCCATACTCAACAAGGGAGCTTGTAAATATAGTCAAACATGTCAATGTAAGCATTTTTGTTGTTTCGTTCATCAAACACTTTTGTGATGTTAATGAATTCCAAATGTTTTGCATTTCAGGAATTCCCTAATGATTCTCTCAGTACGGTTATAAGAAATGTCTTCGATTTCGATGCCTTTACTTCAGAAGCCATCACTACTATCCAAAGCGTATTTCAGAAGCATGGCATTATGTTCGGTTAGGTTACATTCTTGTCGATAGGTTTTAACTTTGTTTTATTTAATATCAGAGAATAAATGTTCTAGAAATTTTTTCTTAGAATACATGCGATGCACATGCTAAGGCTGGCTAAGCGTTGTTGTAAAAAACCATTTTTTATGAATATGTCAATAGTGCCATCAGCAATTTCCTGACTTATTGATTGATCCATCCGCCATCACGCAGAACTGCCACGTTGACTCGAATGGGTCCCATTGCGAAAGTGATGCAGGGAACCCCGCTTGCAACGCTCCATTTGACGCACTCGCCGGTACTTGAAACCAACAACTATACAGCCTTTTTCCAGGAGTACAGTAAGGCGCGACCACCAAAGGCTCCCATTCTCAGGTAACGTTCACGAGTTGGACGCATCTTTCACCATTTTTCATGGTTGACCTTGGTAATTTGCTGCATAATGACTGCGCTAGCCCACGGAAGCTGCCACGTGCTGCCGAGCTCGCTACTTACTTCGAAACGCAACATGGACACACCTTGACAACATTAATACAACCTTTTGTAGGTGTTGAACATCCAAGAGAGCGCATTTTCATGTCACAACGGTTTTCTATCGAGCCATCCACGTCCGTCGGTGAATGGGGAGTACTCGACAATGTTGTTCCAGCGGATGTAAAAACAAATATCTTCTCAATGATTTTAAAGGTACAGTTCAATAATTATCAACGGGACCCTCTAGCAATGAAAGCCCCTAGCCCCTCTAGCCTTGACAGCTTACAGTCTTGTTCGCGGCGGATGCTGGGACGTGTCAGGGGGTTAGATTTGGCGCAGCGCCAGCCCTTTTTCCACCAGTTCTCACTTGTCCGCTTCAAAAATTAGGTGAGAGTGTTGGAATCGCGCCAAACCCAACCCCACCCCCACACCTCCGGTCTTGACACTCCCCATCATCTGCTTATTCACATAAGCGAGTCTGTACGGTAGCGCTGAAACTCAGTGATGCTTTCTGTTTAGGCTGAAGTTCCGCTGAATGAGAAACCGAAGAGACTAAAAAAGGAACACATGCGTACGCAGCAGTTCACAGAACAGGCAAGCCTTCCAGATTTTTACATCCATTCTTCTCTCACTACTAGTTATTGTTATTATTTTTTGAGGAATGCGCCTGGCAAATACCAATGCTCGACGTGAACATTTGCTCCGATGGTTTAGTGATGGGTAATTCTGTGGTAGTAGCGACTGTTAATCCTACTCGCCTTTATATCATAAAAGATTTGGATTTGGCAGAAGAGGTACGCTTCTATTAGCTATTCGATACGTACCCAAAGGCACACTGTTCGTTCGATAACCTGCAGTTTGGCCTTTCTATAAGCCAGGTGGGCAGTCCCGCAACCGTAGAAGGGCACCGCTTCGAAAAGCATGGCAGTGACGCTGAAGAGTTGATCTGAACGTTTTTTTAATCTCTGCCAGCAAACAAGATACGCCATAGAGACGCAGCACGCCACACTACCAGCCACGCACCAAGCCATAGCCGGTCGAGCTAATTGTCTGCGCCATCTAACGCGTGGCCTTGAGCGGCATTATGCTAGACTAGACTTAGACGGAAGACGCATGGCGGTTGCCACCGCATTCGCTGTGGCTTTGCTATCCCATTAGTCGCGGCACGTTTTGGCGACATGCCCCAGTGTTTGGCATTCGCTTGTTATGCAGTCTTGAGAGGCGAGAGCGTTACCTCTCCACAGCTACAGACGTGCCCGGCTTGCTCATAGAAAAGGTCGTCTCTACGAGTGAGAACGTGGTCTGTCCTTGATAGAATCATTTTACATGTCTTAATTTATAAATGAACAGGTCTATGAGATTGATATCTCTCCAATGCTCACACCACAGAAACTATTGAAGTATGAACCACGAATCAGACTGGCTAAGTATGCTGATGGAAAGTTTCTGTTCCACGAAGAAACAGTAAGCTTGTTTTAGTAGTGGGTTGCATTCTTTTATCAATTTTTGAAGAGTTTTCAGTTAATTTTCTCATTTATTCGGTATGTTTAGTCAAACTCGCTTGCTTTGGTGAACTTGAACAGGAACACGATGCAACGTATTGAACTGGGACAAAGTTCACAGTCAGGCTTTACAAATAGTAGGTCCATTTTCATTAGCTTCTTCTGCCACCTTCAAGAGTATGGGAAACTGTATTCGAATTGTGGCTACGCGGTAAAAGTGGCGCGGCTGCGCCATGCGGCAGTAGAGGACCTGACTGAACTGAGGGGACGCTACTGGGATATGTGGCAAGACAATCGTAATGTACCGCGCTGGTGGATGTGGAAAGCGACGCCGCGAGCGAGCGACGGACGACTTGTCGTGCCTTGACGTGAATCTGGGTATTAACCAAATGGAAAAAAAATTCGACATAGACCATCATGTAGTCTTTTATCCGTCACCAAACAATGCAGATCGAGAATGTGCTGCCATTGCTGCATGATACACTGCGCACTACGACGCGACACTACGATTGTCTTACCCAGCTTCCGCGGCTCCGCTGTCGACGCTGTCTGATATGTCATGCAACACGTCGTTGGCGTCTTTTAACTCTTCCGGTTCATTAACACATAACGAACCGGGGTACTGCTGCGATATCTCCGCATCGTTTCATTACTTTTATAGCGAAGATCGTAGTCCTTGATATTTCTAATTTTTTTTCCCTTCACTTTTCTTTTCATTCATGTGAGTTATTGTCTCCTAAGTCCGAAAACGTGTATTGGCAACTTCTTAACGCGATAGAGAAAAATTGTAAAAACGCCGTAGAGAGGGAAGAGGTGTGGCTGCGCATGTATGTCACACGGTGCGAATGTGTTGAACTACGACTGTGGTTTCGTGGACATAGAGCAGGGAACTTTGACTTCCGTGATGGCTTAATCAGGACACTTCCTAAGGCAGTGTTCAGACTTCGCGACGGCAGCGCTTCGGTCGCGCGTTCGACGCGATCGATGCAGTCGAAAGCATGCGCATCGATCGCGTTCAACGCGCGACCGAAGCGCTACCGTCGCGAAGTCTGAGCGTTGCCTAATGAGCAAGTGTGAAGGCTGGTTTGGCGATTTGGATGTGTTGCCCTACTCGGAAGGCACGTGGCCTAACAAACCACTGTACATATCCCGTTTGGCGCAACCACTTTGCCGCCGACCCTTAAAAGATGCCGGTCAGCCGTGTTGTAGGTACGGTAACTCGTCCGAAATTTCATATTGATGTATTTTACTAGATGCAAATCAGGAGAGCTCTCTGGTTGAAAACATGAAGCCAGCACTCACAGCTGTATTCAAGCTATCAATCACGTAAAGTAAAGTAAAGGTTACAGTTCAGTGATTCGGACTAGTTATCCCACTTACTAGACTGTCACCTGTCAGAACACGCAAATGGTCACCTCGTGTGTCAGTGACAATGCGATCTCGCTACGGTCACGTTCGTATGATGGGGCGTGGCCGGCGAGATGGACTGAGCACCTGAACCCGTTTTCTCACCAGTTGCTGAAGCGAGCAAACGACTGAACTGTATCATATCGCTCGCATTAGTAGTTTTTCACCAATAATTTCCACTTATTTGCTTCAACAACGGTGGAAACGGATCTGTCCCATACCCATCCCGCTGACCATGCCTCACCATCCAAAGCGAACGCGATATGACATGCACATGGATTAGCGTGGAACTTTTGTGTAGGTCGAGTCAACTAGCTAGCAACTACCAACAAGTACGTGCGCGTGACGCCACGCCAATATAGCGTAGCACCCGACAGCTAAACTTTCTTATAAACTCCTCATTTATTGAATTTACTAGGTAAAAATCCGACTGGCTCCCGTTTCAGTCTTCGGAAAGACAGAACATCGTCTGGTCCAAGGAACTTATCCCATGCTTTATACACGTGATGGCAGGCAGATTTTCCAATTGGGGCCTGATGGCGTCACACAGATGCAGTTGGAAAGTGATATAAGCAGGATTCTCCCCGTCGACAGCGAAAAAATTCTAGTCAAAATGAAGGTACGCATTGGAGAGCTGCCATTAAATCGTTCTTATTAACTGTCATCTTCACTATATTTCCAGAATGGCCGTTATGATCTCCTGATTCACGAGTCTGGCCAGTGGAAGGCTCGACCTATTCGTGCAGATTTTGCCAATACTCTGGATATCGATAGCTTGCGTGTTCAAAATAATGCTACATTTTTGGCAGCCGATGGTTATCATTTTCTCAAAAGCTCGGGATTCCCGCTTCTTCTGGTATCACTATTATTACTATAATTGTTGGTTAAGGGTGTATACCGCTAGCGTAGTCTTCGTCGATAGCGGAGGAAGAGGCATTTCAAAGTTGGTCATGTGCGTAGCATCCGCGCCAGGACCAAATCACCTCAACGTGGCAGAAAATGGTGTCGATGAACTAGCTAGGAACTAATCTGCTAGTTTTCGTGCCATGTTGTATTTTGATTCGCGATATACACCCTTGATATAATTAGCGTTACTTAGAATGTTCTTCATATTCAAAAACTGGAAAATTTAGAGTGCTACAGATGTCCAAGGAAGCGTCAGAAAAACCCCAAAGAATGTTGTGGATGCTCGAAGACCTCATTATTTGAAGGACGAAGTAACGAAAAAGTTCATTGATCCCCTTAGAAATTTCTTGGTTATGCGAGATGGCGTCGTCGTGAGAGCTCAACCCAAATGGAAAGTGCCTAAGGAGGCGGTGGGAGACGGGTAGCGATTTTGTTTTGTTTTTTCTTCCGGCTATGTTTTTTTTTCTTTAACTTCTGTTGTGGTTCATGATGCCTTTCTTAAGAAAGTGTCAATGCTCATCAAATCGGTGGTTTTCTGGAGGCTGTGAATGTAGACAGTGGTTTTGTGCAATACGTTCCTGTTCCCGAACCGTACTATCATAGCTATCATGGGTGAGTGAGAACTACTGATAACACTTCTAGTTCCATAAGGCACCACTAGAACGAAAATATACTGCTATAGGTCGTTTACTCGAAACCTAGCGATTACACGGACACTTTCCCAAGAAGGCAGCGTTCAGGCTTTGCGATGACGCGCGTTGACACACTATAATTGCAATAGCGCTGCAATGCTCCAGGCGCAAACGCAGCCGCACAGGAATTGATCGGCGCCTACCACTTCTTTGGGAGATTCTCAGGGAATGGGAGGGTATCAGATTGTGTGAAGGCTGCGCCTACCCTCCTGTTATCCTATACTAAAAAGCACTCAGGCAGCGCCTATCGATTCCCGTTTGCGGTCGCGTACGCGTCTGTAGCTTTATGCCGCCCTCGCAGCGATAGCTCATCGACGCGCGCCATTGCGAAGTCTGAGCGCTGCCCAAGGTGGGACACTTTGGCGTCAAGCGTCTGAAGCTTTTATCCACTACGAGCATTTCTCCTCTACTATAAATCGAGTGGTCTTATTGCCTCCCCTTGAACCGCTGTGGTAGAAAGGGGGCACCGGGGTATAAAGTGTTTCACGCACTCGGAGCTAATTGTTTCTGAGCTCAGGCATAATCCTCATCTCCTAGACTAGCGGCTGATCCTACGACGACTAATCCTTGGTGGAACACAAGAAAGAAGAACTGATCTATAAACGGAGTGTTTACCGTGATCCGCACGAACCGTTGCACTGGAGTGCCCCTCATTACTGGAACAGCGCCCTTTTCTTTTAGTCTTTGGGTACGAGTACTCACTGAAGTGTTGCCCTCGTTTGCTAAAATTTATCAGTTCGAGTTGATTACATTCGGGCTATAGTAGTTTTGGGAAATATTCAAAGGCTTTTGAGAAAGAGAGCTTCAGAGTTATAATACTGGACAGATAGGAAATGCATTTGTCAAAATTCTTCCTTTCATATTTTCATTCATTCTTACTTTCAGTCCTTGGTGTGCCACAATAGCTCAAACTCCATTTGTCATGGTTCCATATAATGATGAAAGATTGCTGACAATTGATACAAGTGGTGGAGTACGCTCCTATGAACTTTCACCGAATACGTTAGGAAAGTCATTCAAAGAATGGAGTCGTCTAGTTGGTGGTGGGCAGTTATTGTATGCTGATCATTTTTATTATTATCAATTTCCGTCGTTATTGCAACCTAGTAGGTGTGCGAGAAGGTTTGTATGAAGGTTGAAATGTCAGAAATCAGGGAGTTAAAGAGATGCTGTAAACTCACCTCCGATTATCTTGGTCCCTGCCAAATGCGCGAAGAAGGGGTCCGCAACTGTTACGCGCCTCTTTGGTCACTCGAAAAGATGCGGAAATGGGCCTGGGAGAAGTGGGTGGGGGTCAAATGCCAGCCGGTTGGGGCTCCACTCATAGGCAATTACGCACGCATGTGTCACGCCGCCCTACCAACTATACAGGGGGGGGGGGGGGGGGCAAAAAAAGTCACTTCGACCGAGTCACATATCAGCAAAGTTTTCGCTGCCCAGACAGAGGACGTGGATACGAGTACCAGGGCGGATACCCAAGATGTTCCTCGATAAGCAGGAGCTGGCTCTCGCCCATCACCTTCATGTACACCAAAATATGAAGTCATCTCCAGTCGCAGCCTGACTGGAGAAGACCTTTGGAATTCATGTCACCTCCAAACAGCTGCGAAACTTCTAGTATGGAGTCACCCATGGATAGCTACCTGGAGACCAGTACTCTCGATCTGGAAGACCTCCAACATCGAGCAGCTCCGACAACGTCGCTACGGTCTAGGACATCATCTTCACCGCAGTCGCCAAGGCGCGGGTTGATGGACCGGACGTACCTGGAATGGAAAGACCAATATTTTCTTCGTGGACCCCGGACTGAAGGTGAGCGCTGGCGGTTACATCGCAACTCGTGAAGAATATCCTCCTCACATGTCGTCGCCCGTACCTTCTTGGAAACTTTGTACTGCTACAGCATTGGGTGCCACCACATGGAATCGAAGGGCGTTGGAGAAACTCTCGCCTACTTGGAATGGAAGGGGCTGAGTACCTAAAGAAAGATGGAATATCCAAGTAGGTCACCTGACCTGAATCCCCTCAATTACCCGGTTCGGGCGGTTCAATAGGGTGGTCTACGGTGGCGGAGAAATCGACTATCTCGCTGATCTCAGGCACCACATCGCGGTCGCGTGCCAGAATCTCTCGATGGCGCTCGTCCAGAAGGCTGTGGCGGAGTGTCATGATAGTATTTAATATGCTCTTTAATATGGTGAAAATGTCCGATCAGAATTTAATAAAGTGTAACTTATAGCGCCTCGAAGTCAATGAAGAAAAGTGACTTTTTTGCCCCTCCCCCCCCCCCTTAGCTGAGCCCAGCCAATCGCGATACTTGCCTAAGACTCTTTCTTTCGATCTCCATTGTTCTCCTCAAAACTTGACCGCGATGGGCAGCATGCCGTTTACGTTGTTCGCTGCGGGATCTTCGAATCCACACGCATGCCCGACGCTGTGGCAGGTAGAGACCAGAACGGCATCCATTCCATCCTTACTTCCGTCCCATTTTGAATGACGAAAAAAGCATCCTTTTCGCTCTGTGACCAGAAAAGGGGATGGGACCTTCCCTCTCCTATCTTTCTGGGGTGGGGCAATAACGGAAGCAAAAGGTTGTGAGTCCACTCATTTACCCGCCCATTTGACTATCGTGGAATGTGTCTTTGAATTTATTTCGAGGCGATGAATCAAGCCGTGAATGACCGTCAACTCCAGCGTTGGTTCCTATCCTGCTGTTTCCGTGCTGATATAAGATTTTTTAAAGAAGAAGAGAATGATCTGCGGATAGAATATGAACGCGACCTCAGTGACTTCAATATATCAAAATTGGACGAGCCCAAAATTGGGAAATTTGATCCCGAAAATACCCCTCATTATGGAGGAGATACGTGGTTTGGAGGAACAGGAGGATATAACACAGCTGGTCTAGGAGGAGTCGGTGGACCATTCAGGTATGGGTACTAGTGTTTTCACCTGGTATTTAATCAGGTTATTTGCGATAGTTTTCAAATTTAGAGTCGATGCTGGTCATGATGTACATCAGATGCCTGAATCAGCCAAGAAGCAAGTGCCTGACTATATTCTGAAGAAAGCCAGAGAAATAGCTAAATCGGAATATCAGAAGAAACTAAAGGTGTGTTAGTTACCGACTTCCAGTGTAAACTCCGCATGTAAATTTTAAAAAAAGGCGTAGCCGCGGTGATTTTCGCTAGAGCATATACGGAAGAGAGGCAGAGAAGCAAATTCATGACCACTCAAACGATTGGGAGTGTGAAAGGGAAGAAGTTGAACTGCAGCCAGAACAGTCTTTCCTATCGTTGCAGCCCTAAGATGACATCATTGGCTGGGAGCGCCTTTGTAGCGCTCCAATCCACGCGCATGCACACGCCCTATACGTCGCCGGCTTTATGGATGAATAAAATAAGAGTGTCGTACAAGAACGCGCAGTCGTCGCCGGGACGCCCGGGACGCCTCTTTTTGCTCTCCGATATTGACTGTAATAAATCATTGCCTCGAACAATGTGAATAGTTCTCCCGGCTATGAGAAATTACGACTCCTTAGGGACATGGAGTACGAAATTCACAACAAAGTTGTATCTTATTTAGGAGATTGCAATGTCGGAGTATGACGCGGATGCATACAATAAGCTCTGGAATAAAATCGAGAAACACTCGAACCATCTAAGGTCTATAATCGAGCAATTAGAAGCGAAAAAGAAGGAACGTCAGTGGACTCGACATCAAACATCCGGAGATTTAGATGATGGGAAACTTATAGAGGGAGTAACCGGAGAACGAAATATCTACAGGTACAATACGCAAAAATTAACTCATCAGTATAACTTGCTTGGAAAATCATTGACAAAACAGCGTTCAAACTTCGTGATGACGCGCTTGTACGCGCTACGCCACGCTGCGGCGCGCCAATTTTGCTCTGGCGCCCCGTGCTATAAACGGGAACGAAGCCATAGCCGGGTATCGATCGGTGCCGGCCGCTAGTGTATTGAGAGAGTGAAGACGAATAGGGGGGGGTATTGGTTGTCTGGTACACACTCTGGACATTGTGCTAGCCTCCTGTTCTTCCATACTCTCCGAAACCCTAGCTGCCAAAGTCGATCAGTACCGGTCTACGATGACGATCCCCTCAGTGGCATCGGAGCGCTTTGTAATAATAGCCCGAAGTATAAACGCTACCTAAGCTGAATAATGCTTATTGATTCACCGAACACGCAATTTTCTGATCTCACACCCTTTCTTATGCAAGCTGTCTCTTCTTAGCACCGCCTATCGATGGAGTGGGGGGGGGGGTTTTCGCCGTAAAAATTGTATTTGTCTTGGCGCTCCTTTTTGTCTACCCGGGTTCACTTGTATGGGTGCTAATAACCTTGGACAGGGTACTGCGAAGAGTTCTGCATAGGACCTGGATCAGTGTTAACTTGATTGATTTACTGCGCTTTAAACTAGTTCTAAATTACCGACCCCGGAGCTCCTTTCCCCTTGAGATTTGGGCGAAAGTCCTTATCTTCATTACGGTAATCCTAGTTTTGTACAGGGGTTCCTTTGAATGCCCCTCCAGAGCCATTAACGCTCGCGTTCGTACTCCGTGATTCGAAGGATCTTATCTAGGAATCGCATGACTGCTACTTCTGCGCTCCATTGACACTAATGCTGCAACCGCGTTGAACCGCTTTATTTCTAAAGTGACCTAACTAGGGAAGGTCGTCAGGTCGAAGTGGCCATTTGTGATGAGATGTAGATCACTAGACGTGGTTTTGGACGCTGATCTTGAATCTGCCTTCAAAATTTGCAAAGCGATTCTCTGAACGGAGTTATGGAGCCGCGTTTACCACGCAACAGGTCATGGGATCGGATCCCTGCTGAGCTTAACTTTTTTGCTTGTTGCGCAAACGTGGCAAAAAGTGATTTTGCCGTCACTACTACTTCAGTTCTCACCTGAGCTTGTCTGAAGAAAAGTTTGCCTCCATTTATTACTGCGCTTGGACTCCTTGTAGAAGCACTGTAGTGCACTGTAGTCTACAAGGAGTCCAAGCGCAGTAATAAATGGAGGCAAACTTTTCAGACAAGCTCAGGTGAGAACTGAAGTAGTAGTGACGGCAAAATCACTTTTTGCCACGTTTGCGCAACAAGCAAAAAAGTTAAGCTCAGCAGGGATCCGATCCCATGACCTGTTGCGTGGTAAACGCGGCTCCATAACTCCGTTCAGAGAATCGCTTTGCAAATTTTGAAGGCAGATTCAAGATCAGCGTCCAAAACCACGTCTAGTGATCTACATCTCATCACAAATGGCCACTTCGACCTGACGACCTTCCCTAGTAAGTAGATGTTGTCCAGCAGTTAGCGGTAGAGCGCGGTTTGTCACGGTGCGTTGCTCCCAAACTGCGCGACAGAATCTCTCACTTGGTCAAGAGTGAACCTACCTAGAGTTACCGTAATACGCTGTAAGACCCGGGGCTGTATCTTTTTTTTCATTCGAGCGGGAAATCTTCCCCCGCTAACGGTCAGTTCTACTGCTGCAGAACGTTCGGGAAAGGGGCTGATCCATAGGAATGCGGCCAGAAATCCATGACTTCGCTGTGAGACAGCTACCTGACTTTTCTACTTATTATTTAGATCCATACTGATTCCTTCAGACGTCGTCTGGATAAGCGGCCTGAACCAGGATCGCCACAGCTGAAACCAAAACGGATGCGTTTATGCTTTGACGTATCTGGATCAATGTACAGATTCAACGGATACGATAAACGACTACAGAAATCCCTTGAAGCTGCTCTAATGGTCATGACATCGTTCGAAGGAAAACAAGAAAAAGTGGCAGTAAGTAGAAGTAATCGCGTTTCTTTCGTTCTGTTTCCTTGGCTGATTTGAAAGAAGCTGTTCTAGTACGACATAATGGGACACTCGGGAGATGGTCCATGTATCGGTTTCATTACCCATGGACAATATCCGAAGAACAACAAAGAACGCCTAGATGTACTGATGCAGATGCTAGCGCATACACAGGTTTGACTTTGTACTGCGATCCCTAGAGTTAGGTCCGACAAACAACTTGAATTGATTCCTAGACAGTTTTAGGTTTAGTTGTAAGAGTTTTAATATCTGTGTTTTCAGTACTGTCAGAGTGGTGATTACACTGTAGAAGGTCTTGATGAAGCTATCAAGGCTTTGAGTAAGGAGCAGGATTGCGATGAAAGAATCGTTGTCTTGATATCAGATGCGAACTTGGACAGATATGGTATATCACCGAAGGATATCGCGAGAATCATGAACAAGGATGATACAGTGAGCTCGTTCGTGATTCTCATCGGATCTCTTGGATTGCAAGCTCAGAGGTAAGATCTTACCACGTTACTGCTCTGATGAATTCAGATTTGTATATGGTATATATGGAGTTGGGGAGGGGTCACGCGGCACGGCCTACTTATTCTTATTTCCGTCCCATAACATACACCGGGAAAGTAAGTGATTGGCGCAGTGAGTAAAGTTGTGGGACAGGCACACCCGGAATGGGCGGAGCGTGCACAGAGATGGTATCGGAGCCGTAGTCAAAACTTCGTCAATCCATCCCAGGGCACACCACAGATATGAAAAGTGAGCTGATTTACCGGAGCTCAAGGTAAAGCTCATTCGCGGATCCTGATACTTGCCATGTGCGATGAGTACGCGTTGACAGCTGTGGAAAGGTGACGCTTCTGTCATTTGACGGTGCGCGGAAGTGAGGCAAGAGTACAGCTATAGCAAGCGTCGTTTGTGTCCCCGCTTGCCGGCAAAGCATGCAGACACGTGACATGCCGCACGGCCAGTCACACGCCCAACCATAGCCAGACGCGCTGCTTGCCTACGCCCTCTCAAATCCGTTCTCCCCTTTAGCTGCATTTTCGCTGCGGGATTCCAGTAACGACGCATGTGCTGCATTTTGAGGCTAGCGCGGGAGAAAGTGTTAACAGCATCGTGCTATCACTACCCCTTACCTCGTTTCTGCGCCCTATGTCGACCAACGGAAGTGTCACAACCTCGTTTCTGCGCCCTGTGTCCACTAACGGAAGTGTTGCACCTCTACATGCTGCAGACCATTTCTCTTCGCACATGACAAGGACACCCTTTGGAGGTTAAGGTACAGTTTGTCGTATACGAGGAGCTTGTTAGGGAAAGATAGTTACCTCAGTGAGAGGCAGCAGACAAGCAGATTCAGTCGGACGCCGTGTGATCTAGCCCCCCCCCCTTTTTTTTTCTTTTCCTTTCAACTCCACTAGAGCTTCAGATCCCATAAGCGTTTGTGGTTTTCAGAATACAATCATCTCTTCCCGTTGGCCGGGCTTTCGTTTGTGAAAACACCTCCGATCTTCCAAAAATCATGCAGAATATTTTTACATCTACACTCGGGTAGCTGTTTTGTGCCTTACTATTAGAGATGTATTTAGTTGTTTTAGAGAAATATTAGTAATTCGTGTATAGAGGCAATTGAAAGAATTGTACAGTCTAGAGCTTAGTCTTCTACTAGTTTTTGAAGTACACATTTTTACCTATTTTATTTTGAATAACAATGACAAAGTGAGATCATCTTAAGAGAATTAAGTAATACAACACAAACATAAATTGTGCTACAAAGTGATGTGACACAGAAAGATTAGACACAGTTGAAATTTGTATCATTGCTGATATCAACATTTGAAACATGTGAAAGTTTGATAAACTAAAGTTCGAGTAAGTATTTTGCTAGGCACATATTACAACATATATATTAAATTAACAAACATACATAGTGATAGATTAATGGTACAGGGTGATCTATTCATAGCGTCCATAATTAGGGGAGAAGAATGCAGTCATGATCACTGCAACTGATAGGGCGTGTAACGCGGCGCGTATTGGAGCACAACCAGGGCAGCCTTGTTTCAACAATGATGCCATCGTGAGCCCGCTACAACTGGTGGCTGCACTCCAGGCCATGCCCCTACGTCCTAAGCACTATCTGCAAGGATCATGACTGCACATTGTGTAATATAATCAATCTAACAGAAGAGCGGAAATGGATGTTAGAACGTCGTAACATGGGAACCGTTCTGACGCTATTCCAGTGGGAAGGAGCATTCTGGTTGGATATTATGGTACAATGAGGAACGATTGTGCGTCAAAAGAGCAGTATTCCTGCCGATCATAAGTGGGGTCAAGTGTGCGTTATTCGTGCAAGGACCCTATCGACCAAATGTGGCAGGGCTGCTACGTAAAGGTAGGTGAATAGGAAATGTATGCAAAAAATAATACTACAATAATACTATGCATTACACAGCGTGAGACAAACGACCCACCCCCGGATGCAGGAATCGACGAACTATTTCCCTTGTTGAGGTTTTGAACGTATTAGGGGCCCTACACCAAAATCGAACCTTACTTGTACAGCCTCATTGTTTTTTGGAATGCCACTTTCCACTCTTCTGCTGCAATATACGCTGGAAAATCAGTTACGCTAAGAAATAGTTTAAACCGATAGAAACATAGTCCAGGGACCGAGGGATCCAGGGCAGTTGATAAGGGTCCCCTGACTCCTCGGACAAAATATACTCGTTAAATACTATATTCAGTGGTACTATGTGTCTCAGGCGGGCTCACTCTCTTGGCACACAGTATATGAACGTGGCCCCAGCATAGAATCTGCCATTGCAAAGGGGCAGCGATCAGCGGTGGAGCGCCTCTATTCGTGGTCGCGCGATTGAAACGCTCGAGCGGCTAGCAAACAGAAATATGTTCACCCACGGATTCGAACGGTCCCTTTAGGTAGAAACCAAAACAACAGAAGTTAAGGATAATAGTACAAGATGGTAAGGAAAACACCCGAGAAAAAATAGAAACAATATTAAAAAGGCAGTATATGACATCCATAGGGGGAACAAGTACTACATTCACCGGATATAGGTACTCCCTCGAGTAACTATTTAGTATAAATGAGAAGAAAGGGTGAAAGCAAGTTTGAGCCGGCAGCTGTGTGATCCTGTGAAAGTTGAAGCTTGAGCTCAACTTTCGAATCACCAAGCAATGCTGACTAGTTATCCAGAACCTTTCCAAACCAAAGAAAGGCTTTTCGCAATAAAATAAATTCACAGATTAAAACATGCCCATTATGGGATTGTACAAACGATAGATAACAGTACCACAGTAATATCATAAACTGGGGCCTGTCTATCGCTAGGAGAACAATAAGTCAAAAAAAATTCAAACAGTAGTCAAAAAAATTCAAAATAAAGTAGCTAGAACGCTTGAGATACCCACAGATTGTTCACATTTGTGTGTTCATTCAGCCCATGAAAGTTTCGGCTCAATGATACCACGCAGTTTTTGAGGTCAACCCTTCGATGCAGTTTGTGGCACTGGCGTTTGTTCGAACTGTTGACGACGTACTCGTTCGGAAGAAATCGGTTTTCTGCGATATTCAGTAATCGTCGCAGGAACCCCATTGACCACCACCGTGATCTTCTTCGGAAACGTTCTGGAAGAGATGAATTCAAAGTCAAAAGAAAAGCAAACTGGGTGAAAATTGTTGTACGTTCGGTAACTGCAATGGGAGGAAGCCATTGCTTTCTATAGCTTGAACTAGGTCAACACATTCACTGTGGGACCTGTTGGCAGATTGCCACGATTACTTGACAACTACAACTTTGATGGGGTCCTGGCGCGAATTACAGAGCGCAGAGAAGCTGCGGAGTACGACTGCCAAGGCATAGAAAGGTGCACAAAATGTCGCGTGGAAGGAGATAAGCTTCCTCAGAGACGATGGACTTTGGGGTGGATGAGCCACTTATCAAGCATGAAAAGTTGGAATGTTTAAGGTCACAGTAACCACAAACTAGAAATGGAGACGTGAGAGCGAAGAGAAAAATAGAAAGATGGCAAGAACAAGGGGATTGGGCTCAAGCTGTCCTGACTAGATGCCACGTCCATTGCCCCTTTGTTATTTTGATAGATAGCTGCGGAAGTACGCGTACCAGAATGGGTACGTGAAAAGAAATCGCAGTTCGCCGCGTTGATGGGCGTCGCGTGCGACGTTGCGCCCGAAAATGAGGATGGTTCCAGGGCGACAACAGACAATGTAGAACCAAAAATAGTCATAAACGTCTACAGTTTCGTAGCCGACGTGAAATCCGGTGCTCCATCGACAGGCTAACACGAGTTAGGAAAACGCCGCGCCATCGTCGCGCGCGGCGGAGCGGCAAATTACAATGCCCGTCTCCCTGTCAGAACCAAGGATCAACCTGGGGCTATGAGCAACATTGCCTGAACCCAACATGGCAAGGTCCAAGGACTGTAATAAATGTATGACAGGACTGCAACAGTTTGTTGCTCTTTCACCAGAACTAGAGAAAGTTACCTGTAAATCAGATGATCAGACACCAAGACCATCCTTCGGCGATTTTTCACTACTCCTCCATGAGTGTTTAGACTTCGATTCGCTGAACCACTGGATGAGGACTCTGGTGAATGTCTGGACGTGGATGGCGATCCTACGCTCTGTTGAGCTCGTCGCTTGAAGCTAAAACAACTGTACGTTAAAATGTATTGTATTAAGCACAACAGAGTGCTAATTCAGAGACAACAGACACTCTTCTTCAAAAAAAAAACTTGTTTTAGGCCCTCTTCAAAGAAGCGCTGGGAAAAAAAAAGGGGGGGGGGCATACTGACAGGTAGATCAGTGCCGAACGTTCCTGCGTAGGCACAACTTTTTCCACTCTTCAGCTTCTATTTCATTACAGTAAGTCGTTTCATAAGCTGGAAAAAAAAGAAGACACGAAGTTATGGATCCTCACCTGCTGGCTGCCTTCTCTTGTTGTTGAACTACAAAATTTTGGACCACTTTTTGCATCTGAACGACATTTTCATTCAGGCGTGGTTTGCGTGTAGAGGTACCTTTCCTGCAAATAATCAGCATGGACAAGGAAATTTATTAATACAAACTGAATAAAGACATGAGCAGACAGAAACGAACTATGAGGTGTTCAAGGGCAAATTATCGCGCTGTGAAAATTTTCAGCGCCAAGACGACCCCTCTCCTCAAAAAGCGGTATGACGCCCACCCCAACATGGAGTGCAGCGATCTAAGGTCCAGCAAAAGTTTGGGGAAAACCAGAAATTTTCTGGGAAGTTTCGGAAAAACTGGGGGAAAAATCAGAAAATTGTTTCACACTGGGTATATATCCCCCCCCCCCTCCCCGCTCGACGGAAAATTCTTGGCTGAAAAACTGGAAATTTTCTGGGAAAAATGGAAAAAGTGGTAGGAAGTTGGGAAAATCTAGGAAAGTGGTAGGTAGCATGGGGGGGGAGGGGGGGTCGTATTTTTCAGGAAATGATCACAACGCGATAGCGTGCCCTGCTTGTGCTGGCTAATCGCGAAGCATGCCTTCAAAAGTAAGCGATTGTACCATTTCAGTACTGTACATGGGTGATAGCACCAGTCCCTAACTTCTAAAATTTGGGGAGAAAAAAATGTATAAAGGATTATAACCGTTAAGATACAATATATAAAATCATATTAAAATGTATTATTTACAGCGAACACTGTGTAAGGCTTCGCCGCGCCAAACGCGCTCGCAACTCATGGAAACTCACAGCCGCCGCAGCTGCTACGGAAAGAAAGTAGTAAGCGTTCCATCCTACTATTATTTGATTAATCGACCACGCGCTGTGAAACGTCGTTGAATGGACTGTTGTCTATGGTGTACTGCACACTGCAGACCAGGCGAATGGACTTCGAAATCGCAACATAAAAGTCCGATACGAGATTTTGAAAAAGGCACAAATTCTTGGGATCAGGGCACGCCGTACGTTGGCGATCCCCAGCGATGGGGTCATATTTGGTCAGTGTGGGGAGGGGTGTGACATACTTGCTGCGAAATAATGTCTTTTCCTGGTTTTCCCATTTCACTGGAGTTATGTCCCCTCCCTGCTAACAGTAGTTTTTAGGGGAACCTGGCCAGTGTCGGAAACGTGGTAGATTGAGGAGAATTCAAGAAGATCACAGGTAACATGGGGGGGGGAGGTGGAGTGGATCGTACTAGCGGAAGAAACTTTGGAGGGTGGGCGGGGTCGTATTTTGCAGAATTCTTCCCCAAAGGCAGGATATGCCCTATTTGGGACACCCTCGTACATATTAATTCCAAAAAAGTACCCCCTCGTACATATTAATTCCAAAAAAGTACCGAGTACAAAAAAGTTGCAATAATAGAAATAGCATACCTTGTATCGCACATCTCACATTTGAAAGCTTCAAAGCGATTCCGATAAGTGCACACCGTGCATTCCCAACTGCCAGCATCACAGTCATCATACGGGGTGTCCTCTTTTCGGGCACGCTTTTTACCTGCACCAGACATCCCCACCGATGGTACAGCTGTAATGGGAAATGAATAGCATGAAAAAAATCCTATTTGTTACATTCAAGCAAATATCGATGTGGAACGTCGACATGATCAATTCACAAAACTAGAAAAAGGACGCAAATATGCAATGCAGCCTTATGCACACAGCTCAACGTGACTGCACATACCGTAATTCCTTACAGACTCATTTAGACCTCCTTGTTTAAGCGCCAATACGCTCTTCAGTCATCGCTCCCTCGAGAAAGTGGAAATGATGCCTGTCGTGCTAACATGCCCCCGTGGACACGGTACGAACTACGTAGGCCACTGATCATTAGGATCCCCTCCATACACGCTTTGGCGCCTAGTCAGGGCTTTTTTTCTAACTTTAAATGTTCCTTAGAGATAATAGTTTTGGCTTTAAATTCTGCACCATGGAGGATTTTTTGCCCATTAAGACAGTATGCTCATTTTTTTGGAGATTGTATTTCCCAAATTTCAAATGGCTGAAATGAGCTGTGAAGTCGACGGAACTGGACACTTCTCCCTTTTCTGCGAACTAAAACGGAATCCACTAAGATCCATTTACTGCAACTTCACAGACAAGTATGGCTCTGGATGCCCCATTGAGCGACCGGGAGCAGAGAAGGGCACATTCTACGGTGGGGATCCCCGACAAGACGAGTCGTTTCTGCCTTCGGGAAAAAGGTTTTGTTGGATGACTTTCCTCGGCTTTTCCCGTTTCATGAGCTCTCTCTCTCTCTCTCTCTCTCTCTCTTTCGTTCAACGGCAGTTTTGTGGGCGATAAGTGGAGAATCATCATACAACAAACTCCGGAAAAGTGCTAAAGAAACGGGAAAATCTAGGAAGATGGTGGGCAGGATGAGGGTGAGGAAGAGGGTCGTGATAGAGGGCAGGTTCTGGGGGGGAGGGGGGGGGGCGGATTCTGCGAAAAGTTTACATCAGGGAGGGACATGTTCTGATCGTGACTCAATGAACAGCTTATTCACGAAGAACGATGTCAAAGACAGGAGACATGCTAGAGGTCTTGGAATGCTCCCGCATCCTCACTGAGCATTTTGTTCACTCGGGAGAAGGCATAGGAAAGAACGAAAATTGGTGCATGAGTTCTGCTAGCTGTCGCTCCCCAAATAGGTGCCTCATGCGATACACATTCACAAGATCCCCAACTTTAAGCCGTCCTAAGAAACACCCTTTCTTGGTCATAAACATCTCAAGCTTTAAACTGCTCCCGTGTTCAAGAGCGTAAATAAAGTGCCAGAAGGTGGTGTCGAAAACTCTAGGGCCTAAGGTACTTATGGGAGGGGACCATTTGACCGCGCGGCGATGTTTATCGACGGGAGGACATTTTGTATTATAATTTCCCTGGTTCCGGTTTACAAATCTCACTCTGGTAAAACTTGTGAACGCTTGTGAAGCTGGAGCAAGATCGTCTAGCCACCATCCTAAAACGTGTCAACTCGAAAAAAGGTACCTAGATGGGTTGGCAAATCTATGAAAAGCAGAATGCCCCCCGTCGATAAACAGCGCCGACCGCGCCTCTCTATCCCTTTCCCAGAAAGGCTCAGGTATAAAGCCGACGATAAGAGTGGCCAAGGCAAGGTTGTGCAGGGAAGAATAGTCTCCACTGAGCCTTAGCCTCAATGGGGAAAGGGATACAGAGCGCTTTCCTCCTCTCCTCCACCCCTCCCACTCCCCAAAATACGTTAGCGGCACACTCCCATTCCTGTCCACCAGACACCCCATTTTGGTGTATATAAACGACTAATCAAGAGGAAACAGAAAACTGCGCGTGCCACACTTGCCAGCAGGAAATATCTATCACCCCTTCACACAAAGTTTTGTGGAGGGAAAGGCAGCGTTCAGACTTCGCGACGGCAGCGCTTCGGTCGCGCGTTCGACGCGATCGATGCGCATGCTTTCGACTGCATCGATCGCGTCGAACGCGCGACCAAAGCGCTGCCGTCGCGAAGTCTGAATGCCAAAAAGCCAGGGTCACCCCAGTACTGAACCCGCTGAGCATCGCAACCATGATGCATAGACCTGGTGGGACGGTTTAGATTGGAAAACTTTCTCCATCTCGTGATGTAAATCTAGTACCATATATGGGAAATCGCTGTTGTTTCCATTCAAAAGATAAAATGAAAATGAGGCTGCTTGGTGGGAGCACGGAACGATCTCAGCTAAGTTTTTTCGAGCCAACTTGGGAAAATAGCTGCAACGAAGGAAGCCCACCCAGAATTTCGCAGCTCACAAGGGTTTACTGCTTAAACCGTAGTGAGACCTACTAGCTGAGCTAACGAAATTAAACAGCGAAAGAGCAAAATGCCCCCGGCCCCTCCAAACAGCAGTGCCTAAAAATGGTCCATACACCAGCTCAACTTTAAGTCGGTTTTGAATCAGATGAAAGCAGAAAAAAGGAAAATCGGAAACATAATCGACAACTATAACACAACAACGCAGCCCGGAATCTGGTACCCTTTCACAGAATAGCTACTATTTATGTTTACAGTCTGACTACATGAAATACAAGTAATCTTTTGTACACATCACTTATTTACATTTCTAAGTAACACAACACGCGTGTCGCAGACATCAGCTGAGTACTACTACCTTTGTGAGTATAGTAATGATGTAGCTTCATAAAAATTCGTAATTGACGTAAACCAACTGAATGGTTAGGAAAATGGTTGGAATTCCAAAATAGGGAGGAAAATGATTCTTTACTCTATGTGGCACAGGCCAGTACACAAATATCTACAGGTAATGTAGGTAAAGTGTATCGCGACAGAAAGGTATACTAAATTTGATATAAACTACGTTAATAAAGTTTGCAGACTTTGAAATGATGACTGAGCCTTCTTAGACGACTCGCTCTAATCAGCGGAAAGTGGAGTCGCGGAGATCAAATGTCAATCGATAATATCGCATACTCTTCTGTGTGCCAGCTGACGGTACCTATACACCAGATATTCAACCAAAAGAAGAAAAATAAAGAAAAATCAAGTAGACGAGCCAATTTACGAGTCACGGCTATTACAGCCGCAAAGCAATCTATATGGGACCACCTTGCTGTTTCAATCGTGGCAATCTTTTTCATTTGAGCTGAAAAATTTATCTAGACTGTTGATTCCAATCTGCACTAATGAATTGTTTTCTCTAAAATATCTAGGATTTCTCTGCCATTCTCCTTGCGCCATAACAGGAAAACCTTTCATGATCTCTACGATCTTGCAAATAGGCGATTGGCAATGGAGCTGATTTGCTTCGTGGGTCATGATTGTTAGCTTGTTTGTGTGGTCGTTTTTAGAATGACTATAACACATGTACTTGTGATCTCTGAATATGTGTTTGCTTTATGAATTTGTTACTGATCTTCGTTTGGAATTATGGCTGCAAAATCCAGCTTTATTTTTGTGATTATTTTCTGTGCCAGAGTGCACCTTACATCACCTGTATACTGGTTACTTTTACTACGATCATTTATGGCAAACTTGTTGTTTGTTTTCACTCCATTTCTCGTTTATGGTTTGTTGTTCGTTCCTTGTTTTGGGTGATCTCCGCCCATCACTACAATCTTGAACGTCTATGCGTGTGATTTTTTTAATGTCGTAGTTTCACCTCTTTAGTTTTTTCAGGGTTTTCGCAGGGTAAAGTAAAAAAATATTAGGAGGTTATGGATGTTCCGGAAGAGACCATCAACAGTTTTAAGGTAATTTTATCGATTTTGGGTGTGTTGGCTTGGTTCATATGTAGTGGCTTTTTTCCAGTATAAAATTAGGTGAAACATAAGTGTTTATTTGGTGTGTTCTACGTGATATGATAAGAAAATTTCACTACCTCTAAAGAGTGTTTGATTTTCGACGCTCTTCCGCCATTTTTAGAAATATTATTTATTTCTATTGTAGTAAAACTAAGTGTAAAGTGGGGAAAATGGGCGCTTTGACACCTGCCTTTCTGGGCTCAATCCAGGTGATAATGCAGCATTAAAATGACACATTAAAATGATAAAGCAGCATTAAAACTCTGGAATTTGTGTTCAAAGAGCGGTGTTTCTTGATACCGCTTCAAAAGTGCTTCCAGTCGTTATAAAAGGAAATCTTTCTTTTACGTTAGAATTGTATTGACCAACGTGGGTTCGATGAGGAGGACACACCTATGAAACCTATAGACCAAGTTCGGCAAAAAATGAGGATAACGCTCGATGACACTGTAGGAAGGGGAGTTGCGCGGTGAGGGTCCTCAGCGAGAGTCTAACTCGGTCGCTGGAGGGGGGGGGGTCGCATTCGCCTCTGTAAAGAACGTTCTTGGTTGTTGACTTCTTTCGGTTTTTCCTCTTTCGAGTGCTTTATAAACAGTGAAAAAAAAAACTTGGAACAAGCTTCAAAAGCGGGGCACATCGTTGTTGGGGAATCCCCAACAGGGGATCGTATTTGGCCGCCAGGAGAGGGGGTCGTATTTGGGCTGAGAAAAATTTATTTTGATAGTTGATTTTTCTCGCTTCACGGACGTTGTAAAGGGGGAGGGGGGGGGTCGTACTTGCTCATTGTTGGGGGGGGGGTGGAAGTCGTATTTATTTTCTGGCCTTCTAGAGGTGGTGGTTAACTTTTCGTGATTTTCCTTTTCGTATGTACTGTATACTTCCCTCCCCCCGCCCCGCTCTCCCGCCCCTCCCCTCGCTCGAAGCAAATTTTTTGGGAAAAACATGGAAATTTTCGGAAATTTTGGAAAAGTGAGGTAGGAAGTTGGGGAAAATCTGAGAATTGGTAGAAAGGGGGGATCGTATTTTCTTCGCGGCTTTTCCCGTTTCACATGTGCTATTTACCCCCCCCCTTCCCTTCCCCTCCCCTTCCCCTCGACGGCCTCGATAGGATGGAGCAGGGCACGACGGCTCGATTAGCATGAGAGGGCAGAGACCGAAGGGGCCGGTGGGGGGCGCGTCGCTACCAACCCCCAAAAAGGGTCGTGCGGAATTGAACAAAATCCCACCCAAT